AGGGATTACAATAGTAACGCCCCCCCCAAAGGTACCCCCCCCCAGACTTAGAACCCTAGCTCCTTAAACCCTTGGGGGGGTGGTACCTTTCAGGGTACTATTGTAATCCCTTATTCAGGGTGGACAGATGCCTGGGCTTTTGTACTTCGTGTTGCGCAGGAAGCTGTCAGGCAGTGAGGGCTCTCAGCACTAAACTCTACAGTGTTGAGGATGTGCGGCGTTCAGGGTTGGAAGCAGATGGGTATGCAGGATGAGGGTTGTTGGGGTGTTTGCGTTGCAAGTGTTGGTTGAGATGGAAGGACGGCGCCTGACTGCTGACTGCTTCGCGGTAATACCCTACATACGTTATAGCGACTAGTATACATGAATTATATTACCTTGTCCTCAACAGTTTGTAACATAATTGGCCCAAACCCCATGAAGAGAGCCAAACGAACCACTGTCCTACATGCTTCCGGGCTTCAGGTAGCAATTGACACAGATATCTAGCCATGTGGAAGGTCCGGCGGACTTAGTAAGTACACTTGGATGAACCATAAAACCGCATAATAATCTCAGTTGTCCCCACTGTTGACGTACTTACCAAATCTCCCTGACCCGAAACCCTAAGCCCTACTCACTAAGTCCCCGTGACTCTCCAAGTACAGGAGGCGAGGAGACGTACTGCCCTGTCTCCACAGCTCTGGTTTAGGGTTAAGGAGGTTTAAGGGCTTACGGTCCTTGATCATCCACTTGAGAAGTGGTCTTGTTGAAAATACGTGCTTTTCGATTTTGTCGAAAACCCAATCAGGAATGTTGATCGGAACTTTCAGTACTATCCCAATAAGGATCCTAAGCCCTGAGCTGAGGGTCAAGGGGTTCTTAAAGCTTTGCAGAGGCCATCTTTCAAGCAGCTGCCGGCGTCAACGACTACCGTGGAAAGGCCGGCTTGGGGTAAGGTACCCTACCCCAAACTAACAAGGGAAGTACTGGCAGATTATGTAGGGACACATTGGGTTATATGGGGATATACAGGTTTTATGACGCAGGTATTATTTGCAAAATCAAACGGCTGACACTATTGACAATGAAATGGATACTGGGGCTATGTAGTTTTCTCGGGGATAGGGATGTCAAACAAATCGGGTTCTTCTGGGGTTCCTTATAGTAGTTTGGTGTTTTGCTTGGGGCTTTCTACAGTCGGAAAGCCTCACATGGAAACCCAGACACTGATCCCTTACGATTGTCACATAGATTTCCATGTTAGTTTTGGGAGGGTAGGGTTTAGACTTTGGACAGTCGCCATCCGCCTGCAAGTCCTTGCTCAAGTTGAGGATTCAGGGTTGAACCTTCTACAGACCATGGGGTGGGTTGAAGGTTTAGGGTATAGGGTTCAAGGTCTGAATCTGTTCCAGCACTAGCATCTTATGAGGCTGTTCCAATTGATTTTGATTAAGGCGCTCATCGGAATTTCAATGCGGTTTCTAGTGGTCTTTAGATGCTAAGTAGACTCCGACTCCAACTAGATTTTAAGTTGATTCCCAGTCATATTTCAGCATTTTAGATGGTTTCGAGTTTAACCAGACCTCAACTCAATAGGTTTTAATCGATGTATTGCATTTCAGTTGAGTTTTAAAGCAACGAAAGCAGCTCAAAAGCAGCCTTCCCGGGCATTCCTATCTAATTCTCTCAATACAAATGCCCCCTAACATTCGATAGGCTTCGGGTTTAGGGTGTATAGGGTCTAGGGTTTAGGGTTGGGGCACGTCAAGAAGTAATAGGGGGAAGCGATTATCAACAATAATGATAAGAAGGAACCCAGAGCCAAACCTTCTCTGATCCCTGAGCCCGGCCCCCAAGTCATAATTGGAAGTATAAATAACTTCTAACCTGGGATAACCATACTTCTATGTCCCATAAATTATAGCTGCGGGACTTGTAAGCATTGTTGCATATCATACCCTAAACGCTTCAACGCTAAACCCTAATCCAAAACCCAAAACCCTAAGCCCCTGAACCTTCTATGATCCCTCCGCGAGGTGCGGACGCTGGTGGCTTCACTACGTCGGAATGAGCCCGTCCAGATGAAGCTGGCAAGCGGCGACATTTCTGCAGCGCAGGTCAGCGCAACCACGCTGTTGAGGGTTTGGTTTAGGGTTGAGGGTTGAGGGTTTAGGGTTTAGGGTATAGGGCTCAGGGCTCAGGGCTTGGGACTTGGGGTTTGGGGCATAGGTATTAGGGCGTAGGATTTGTGTATTACCCCAACAGAAGAATAAAATAGAAAGAGCATGGGAAATGAATTCAAATTAGCATAGCGGGTTATATAGGGTTCAAGTTCTATTTTGGGGCTCTCCATATTCGGAATTGTAGTAGTTGGGGTTCTATATATTCCCCCCGCCCAGCTTTGGGAACCAGGACTGGCAAATGAAATAGTCCTTTTACACCCCAAGCGAAAGCACCCCGAATGCTTGCCCAGACTCCAAGTACAGACCCCAGTGTCGTATTAGGTTTGCTTCTGAGGCCGATACGGATGCAAACGGAGCTCCCATTTCCGTGCATCTCTTGTCTGTTTCATGACGCCATGCTCGAAGAAAGGGACCTGGTTTAGGGTTTAGAGTATGTGAGGCGGCTGAATGAACAGAACTCAATGACTGGCATGCTACGATCTCTAAACCTGAAACCCTAAAACCTAAGGCCCAAACCCGAAACCCTGAACCTTAAACCTTACGGCTGGGTCTGCTGAACATGAGTGGAACCGTTCCTGATTCTTTTTCGCTTGTAGAACTCCAACCTTAAGGATCCCAGTAGCCAATGCTTAGGTTTTTTTAAGGGATATATAGGGGCACATGGGGGGATGTAGATATTTTGGGGGTACATAGGGTTAAGGGTCCAGGTGGGTAATAGTAGTTGTAGTACAGGTTTTGGGCAAGTATATTATGATTAAGTACTTTGACCCAAATTTAGGAGGATACCACCTCATGCGTATTCAGGGGCCTCCACAAGTGTTGCTCACTTGTTGAAGAGGTTTTGCGGGGCCTCCATGCAAACTATTCGTGAGCAAAAAACGTGGATTTAAGGAAGATTCTAAATTCTTTCCGCTCCAGCTTGAGAGGTCGTGCCATGCGGACTCAAAGTGTGGAGTCCTGAAATGGACAGGTGACTGGTTTGTGCCGCGTCAGATGCATAGGATGATGACCGTACTTAGGCTTTAGCGCCTCAAAGCGATCCTTCAGAAACCCGAAGCCTTAAGCCCTGAACCTGTAGAATGCATTCCATTTTCACCTAGAGATAAACCTGTCCTGAGGAATCCACTGAACCCTTCAACCCTTGAACCCTAAACCCTCAAACCCTTCCCACATCGGTTCTAGAGCCCGTTACACAAGCCAAAGCTTTCCAACGCCTGGTCCTCAGGTGGTGCAAGATCCGCAGCAGACTCTTCTGACTCCTTGGCTCTTGTTAGTGGGGTTCAGGGCTAGGGGTTTTTAGGGTTAAAGGTTTAGGAGTTTAGGGTTAAGGGTTTAGGGGTTGACAGTTAGAGTTCAGGATTTCGGGGTGTAGGGTTTCTTATTGGAATTTGATAGCGACATTACAGGAATGCATGTCTGTCCCACTACTTGTGGCATAGTGGCAACGCAATGGACCCTAAACAACCCGTGTGGCCACTATTGTTGTGTCGGGGTGGAATCACATAGTCCATGCCTTTATCTTCTAAAAAAACAGGACGGAAAAGCAGCGCCAGCTACGTGCCAAAGTGCACAAGGAATCGTTGGAGAGACTTGGCTGCCGGTTCCGGTTTTCGAAGGGTTTAGGGTGAGCCATAGTCTAAACTCCTTAAAGAGGGGTTATATGGGGGATTATATAGGGAACTACTATAGGGGTTATTAAGGGGGATACTAGGAGTTTGGATTATAGCTCACTTCATCATGGAACGGACAGGCCACCGATGGCATCATCATCCCAGGTTCCTTAAACACTTTTAGTATAAGGCACTTCAAGCAGACCCCAAAATAGTATTGGCAGTTATTTGGAACCCTACAATAGGGTCCCGATGATTGAGCCTAAACCCTAAACCCTAATTGGGTTAGGGTTTAGGGCTTGTTTCTCAAAATGATCCCCACACTCAACAGACACCCCCCCATACCCTCCTCATAACCGTACCCTGTGAGAATCCCACATCCCTGGTGGTTGTCCATGTATGAGAACCCCCTTTCATATAATACGCTCCAATCCTGGCACCTGAGATTGCGAATAATATCTGCTGGCTCCATGATTAAGACACTTTGCTTACAGAGTAATTAAGCGCTCCCTCCTCATATTGGACACACCCCCGTCCCCCCAAAGCATGGTCATTCCATATTAGTGGGTAGAGGGAGGGGTTTATGTTAATGTAAAGGAAAAACAACCCTAAACCCTGAACCCTAAACCGCATGCTTGCGAGGGTTTGTGTACATAGGGTTTAGGGGCAGATCTGGCGGGGAAGACGGGACCAAAGCCCTGGCCTCCCAGGTACAAAGACCCTTAGGGTTTAGGGTTTTATGGTTGAGGATTTAGGATTTAGGGTTTAGGGTTGAGGGTTTAGGATTTTGGGTTTAGGGTTGAGGTTTCGGGGGAACCGTGCCATTGCAGATAGCGGTTGGCTATCATGGTGATCATATCCATGCAATACGCGTAGAATCGGTAGAGTTGCCCTTAAGCTCTTGAACCTTTCGTCACCCCAAACCTTTCGAAATTTCTAAACTTCAGGCCCAGGCCCTAAGCTTAACCTAATCCCCAAACTCTAATCCCTAAAACAAAACGGCCTTGCTAAACCCTACGTAAATTCCCGTACCTGGCCCTAAACCCTAAGCGCAAAACTGGATGAAGCCGGGGGGGGGTCTTAGAAGCATAAGCGTTCAGTGTACTGCAGAAGAGAACCTTGAGCCAGGGAGGTTTGGGGTTCAGGGTTTGTATAGCCCTTTAAGGAGACCTGCACAAGCTAGAGGCGGTTTAGAGTTTGGGGTTTAGGGTCTAAAGGCAAAGTAAGGTGGTGCAAGATTTTCTTCCACCACATGAGGCACCATATTAGCCTAAACACATGGCCGTGGCACCGGTGCTTTAATCCCTGAAGCATGAACTCTTTGTCCTTTTCCTGTCCCTAACTACTAACCTTCAGCCCTCCTTAAAGCTTGAAAGTTGTGAGTACGTAATGGAGGACCCAATCCTTGTAGCCGCTTCCATGTTTTGATTGCAGCACTCCCTGCGAACTAGCATGACAAAACCCATGCTGCAGGAGGTGTTTGCAAACCAGTTTCGGTGGCCTCGGCTACTATGTCATGGGCATAGACTGCACCGGGACGGACTGTCACGAGGTCACAGGGCCAAAGCTTCACTTGCGTCTTAAGAAGGCGTACGTATTAGGGTTCATGGGGGATAGCAAGACTTGTGAGGTAGTTGTAAGTGAGGTTGCAAGCGGAATTGTACTGCCAGCCGCTCATACGGCTGGTTTTCCTGTAAATCTTCAAGTAAGCCGGTTTAAGGCAGGACCCCAGAACGAAGGATGGGATTCAACCCCCTCATGCTGAAATTTGGCCTCCCACCCCTAGTAATCCCTTCCCCCTAATAATGAACGACGCCCCCACCTCCCCCCCCTAATAATAAATAATCCGGTGTGTCAGAAATTATTTATTATTAGGGTGCATATTTATTGAAAGGATTTGGTAGGGCCGCCTTCAAATTCCTTTTAAAATCAATTGAAATCGAATTATCTTTTATTCAAATCAATTGAAATTTAATCAAAAACTTTAAAAATCAATTGAAATCAAATTCAAATCCGTTAAAATCAATTGAAATCTAATTAACATTCCTTTTAAAATCAATTGAAATCGAATTAAAATCCTGTTAAAATCAATTGAAATCTAATTCAAATTCCTTGTAAAATCAATTGTAATCGAATTACACCTTTCAAATCCATTGAAATTTAATTAGAATTCCTCTTAAAGTTGTCATAAAATCAATAAAATCACATTCAGTTCTTGTATATAAAGCCCTTTATAAAACCCAGATGAAAATCAATCAAAACCTAGGATGTCGAGGGGATCCCTAATTCTTTTGGATTTTCTATTTTACCCCCTAATGACCTCAAAACCACCC